ACCCTCGAGGCGTACTACAGTCGCTTAGCTTCGAGCGCTCATGGCTGAAGCTACCTTGCGGAAGTGCGGCTGAAGTGCGGCAGGACAGGACCAGGGTTGCGCCTTGTGGACATAGGTGCCCATTCATATTAATTTCAGATCAAGTAGGGTCCCCCTCCGAGCTAACCAGCAAACCTGTTAACTGTTGAGCTGGTAAACTTCACTCTTTCTGTTGGTAGGCGTATTTGAAATTGACATTTAAGGATGCTCGGTGAGTGGGTAGCAAGCTCGAGTCTCATGAGCGCTTGCATTGGGCTGTGTTTGCTTTCAACACATCATGGTTTATGTTGTTTCAACCGCAACTACTTTATATACTTGAATCACTCCCGCCAGTCACCGTCAGCCTCGCCTGCGGGCAAACGTGCCTGAGGATGGCGCTGAACATGGCCGCCCTCGGCGGAGCAGGTTGCGGGGGAGCCGTGCAAGGGTCATTACATCGCCAGACTTACCACTAGCTTCTTGCAGAGAGTTTTAGCCTGGCCAAGACAATGGGATCCCAGGGTTAACGCATTCCTGCTTGCTTAGTTTGGGGAAGACGTCCATTTTCAGAGGGATTCCCCTTATTTTCTGCCGAACCTCCCCCCCAACGAGTTTGGCAGGCGCATCAACCTGTGCGACATGGCTTGAGCCTTTGAGTGGTGTGAGCATGAATTACCAATATCGACTGAGTCCCCGTGGAATGGTTCAAAGAGGAGGTGTTTCCCCGGTTGGAGACACTTTTGGCTGAACCTCTGTTTGCGAACGCGCAGGGGCCGGCGGCGCCAGCGCAACTCAGATGCCTATCGATGCAAGCAAGCCTCGGCCCTGGAGAAATGCGGAGCGACACCTGGGGGTTGCTGAGGTGCAAAATTGCTTTTGGTGGTATTTAGAGCAAACCAAAATAGGATTGTTTTTTGGATGCAGAGAAGTCAGCCAATGTTTGTTTGCCGAAGTCAAGTGTGCCAAAATCTGCCAACACCGAGTCGGGTTGTTTAGAGGTTTAGGGACGATAAAGCTTGACTCCTTGGCTCTGGTACATTCTTGTTATGCAAGGGTGTTGGTTATCTCACTCCACGAATTCAGGACTTTATACTTAGTAACAATCAAACAATGAACCATTGGACATGTTTTGCCAATCCATTCAGGAAGTGCCTTAGGACGTATTTATCGTGTGCTATGTGTGGTAGAATTTGGCTAGGCGAGCCAATGTCCTTCCCAAGCCCACAGGACTGACTGACTACATTCCCAAGAAGGAACGCATGAGTTGTTTCTTGCCCAGTTATGCACCTTTGACAATCCATGTCACTATTTGATTGGACTAGGGCCACTTCCTTTGCTCCCGTAGTGGCTGTGCAGGCTCATGTAAACCTAGTCGGTGCCCATGAGATTTGAGCGCTGCTCGCTTGTGACTGCGCCGAAACACGTCCAAAACAGGTAACGTGTGGACCAGGCTTTGCATTCTCGCTGCTTCCCTCTTTGCAAATCAAGTTAACCCCCCGATGGAAATTGCGGGGAACGTCTTTCGGGAAGGTCCTAAAAGAATCCACCAGACTCGAGAAGGCTCGAGAAGGTCACCTCACAAGGAACATAAGCTTCCAGACTTCTGCACTCACCTTGAGGTGGGAGGGAAACGCCCGGTAGCCCTGTTTCGATTGCTTCAGAGTCGCTGCAGGTTCCCTTTGCCTCTCCCAGATTGGCTGGCCGGAAACCCGCCCGCCTGCCGCAGATTGACCACATGCGCAGGGAATGCCTTTCTCAAAGGAAATCCTTGTGCTTCAGCCTTCAGAGGTAGCTCCGACCTCAATTCTGCCCCCCAGCTCCTACATTGGTGTGTGTGTGTGTGTGTGTCAACATGCGGTTTGCCCATCAGGAGCCCCTAAAGGAGCCTGCCAATGAGCATGGCATCATGAATGCATTCGATGCTGTTTCCACCTGGCTGGGTTTGAGCGCAGACCTAACAAAGAGTTCAAGCACATTTTGAGAGTGACCTGGGACAGTTAATTGGCTTAGGAGAGGGTGCCAACAGCAAAAGCTAGCCAACGGGGTGGGGGGGTTCAGGTCGGTCACGAAGGCGGTGTGACTGCATGCGTTTAGTATGACGCGCTCTCGTGACCAGATGTGCCCCAGCAGAGTTGGATGACAGAAGTTACTAAGAACAAGAGCTTGCTTATAGGAACAGAACCATGTTGACATGTTTTTGCAGCGCTCTGCTTGTGCGTTTTCGGGCGGGTGTTGGATTTATTGGTTTGGTCGGATTCTCACTGTCATTGTGCTTGGCAACGTTGGCCTGAGGTCTGAATGCAGCAGTCTGCTCGACTCAATCAAGTTCGTGGCTGTTTTGCCGAAAGCGTCGCACAGTCTTGCTCCGGCAAAAGCAATGGCTCTTCTCAAGAGAGTCACTTACAGGGAGTGACTTGCGCAAAGCAACTTACGTGGAGCGACTCGTGCGCAAAGCAACTCACGCAAAAGCACCTTTCGCAATGCGAGTGATTTATGCAAGTCTCATGTCACTCCGTGCAAGTCACTGAGCAGGTCTCAATTCAAGTGACTTTGTCATTGTTCGAGTTCCTTTGAGCAAGTCGTCCACCACAACTCAACCATTTACGCAGGCACACGCAAGGCACAATACGCAAGCCATCTGCAGAAGTACCCCAGCACCTCTACAGAAGTTTCGGCGAAAGTCGTTCTGCGCAGAGTGACTTGCCCGGAGCGATTTGCACAGTGTGATGGTTGAGAGACTTGCGAGGAGTGACCCGCGACTTGCGTAGAAATATTTGCGTACAAGGCCTGGCATAAAGTCACTTGCGCAAAGTGGCTTAAGAGTGGCTTTCTCCCGAAGACGAGAGCGACTTGTGCAGAGCAACTTGCATCAAGTGAGTTGATCTAAGTAACTCGCTGAATCGAGGCTGACATGCGTAGAGTGACTTGTGCGCATTGCGGCGTGCGTAGAGATACTCGCACAGAGTGATTTGTGGCGAGCAACTTGTGCAGGTCAGTTGATCCAAGTAACTTCCACAGAGTGCCCTGCGCAGAGTTTTTCACGCAGAGTAATTTGCGCAGAGCGCGGTTTGCGAAGCTTGACTGGCATAGAATGAAATGAGTACATTGACTTGCGCAAACTGACATGAGCACAGTAACTTGCGCAAACTTACACTGAGCAACCTGCTCAGAATGAGAACGGTTTTCGTGAATTACTACTACTGCTACTGTTTTTTTCCGCTAAATCCTTTTGATGCTCGAGCCAGAGCTGCGCAAGCGCGGTTCGCGTGCTGAAAAGGCTGAGGAAAAACACTAAAAGACGATCCATTTCCCCATTGGGGTCGGTGGAACCGGGCGGCAGCTCTTAAACAAAGGGGTAAAGGCCCCGCCCAACATTTCACATAAAATCTTAGAATCTGAGTCTAAGACCAAGCACATTTCAGACAGCCACGGGTTCACGTTGTGTAGAGTCATGCATGCAATCCTGTAGGTGGCTTTGTGGCCAAAAGTCTGAAGGTATGGTTGCTGCCACATTGTTTCGACAGTGCCTAATGGAACAATTGAATTTCACAACAAAGAGATGAGGATGACGACGATGATGATGGTGTTGATTATGCTGATGATGATGATGATAATGACGATGACGATGACGATGACAATGACGAGGCTGACGATGTTGGTGATGATGATGATGATGCTGATGATGATTATTACGCATCCCCAGCATTGCCAGTGGGGCCTGCTGATGACGTTGGATGATGATGATGATGATGATGATGATGATGATGATGATGATGATGATGATGATGATGATGACGATGACGATGCTGATGCTGATGCTGATGCTGATGCTGATGCTGATGCTGATGCTGATGCTGATGCTGGATATGTGTTTACGATGTCTTGTTGTTTGATTCTGTTCATTGTTGATGGGGGTTGCCATTGTTTGCCAAGTGTTGGGAAGTTGCAGGCCGTATACACCTTGATTGTATACCCACTGAACCTAGTTTCAAGCAAAACCCTCTGAAGAGAAGCTCCTAGATCTTGCCCTCGGCTGGCGACTCCTCATTTCTCATCCGCTCCGAAAATGAGAATGGCCCTTCGGGGCTTCCACGCGCCAGGCTCTTCACGGCGGGCTTCGGGTTGGGCGTCATGGGCGCAGCCATGAGCGTCCTCACCCGCTCCGCCGCGCTGGCGGAGGTGGCCTTCCGGCGCCAGGCGCGAAGCAGAGGGCGATGCCGGGACTGGCGGGGCTGCAAATCGGGGGCCACGGTGGACGTGAGAGTGTCGCCGGACGGGCTGCCGGCAACATTTGCTGCCTGCATGGTGCTTTACGTCTATCCCTGAAAATTGTGGGACAAGTCAAAGATAAGCCAAAGCCCGCTTCTCAATTCGCCTTGAATTGGCCCAGTTGTTCATCAACACAGTGAGGGGCTAGCCATCGTCCAAGGCAGTGTTCCCTGAGCTGCAAAGGTGAACATGAGTTTCAGAATGGCGAAGGACAGTGAAAAAGCAGAAGCTCATGTGAACCAAATTAAAGGGTAGAGGTGGACGTGCCTGAGCATACATAGGGTTGGCCTTTGCAAATCCTTGTGGGTGATTGCAATCAGAGAGTCTTCAAGGCCTAGTGTTGAATCATGGTGTGGGTAGTGTTCCTTACCGAGTTGCTGGAAGCGCACAGCAGAGACAGCGCCTGGTTCTTGTTTTCACTGTTTGATGCTTTGCTCTGAAGTAGATGAAGCTGCCGCGGTCATTCGGAAATGGCAGTTCCAGATAGGCACTCATTGCCAATCATTGTAATGACTGCCCATAAAGTATACCAGTTAGGATGGGCGTGTGAATACTAAGATCAATCACCTACCAGCATAGATTTTGGGATTGTGACAAATTTCTCAAGCAGCTCCTCATTATTTGACAAGGTGAAGCCAAACTAGTGCACAAGGAGACAGGAAAGCTGTATATACATATATATTTATATATATAATGTGCATTTAAACCTATGCAAACGGGTGGCAACAGCCACACCCTGCTCATTGGATGTTTGTTGGTTGGGCATTTGAACAGCAACTGAGGCTCTAAATCCCGAAACCAATGGGTCTCGTTCTCTCCCTCACAAAACAGCGAACTGAAGAGCGCGCCGACAGCGCAATACGGTGTACAGCGCCTTTCTACAACACCAAAAGGTAGATGAGCCACAATCAAAACCCGGGTAGATGAAGGTTAGTAAGGGACGATCCCAACCATTAAATAGCTGCGGCCGCCTTCTTAATCCTGTACGTGGTTCTGGGTGGACCATTTTAGTACCAGGTTTTCATTGCGACTCAGATGAAGTTTAAGGGGCAGCCCGCCATGCCACGAATAAGTGCTGCAAAACTGACCTTCTGATTCTGTGTCAAGTGCATTCCGGGCGTTTTGCTTTTTCTCTCGCTGGCCAGATGCTGATGTCTTTGGAAATCCCGTCCAAAGACTATGCCTACCAATGGGCGCGAGCCCAAGTTGAGGGGTCCGACGAGGAACCTCACGCACCCCAGACCGAGTTCCCGTGCAAGGTGCTGAGTCAAAGCCACAAGAGGATGGAGGATCTCTCACTTTTGTTCACAGCCCTGTGGACATTCCAGAGAAAGGTGCCTGTCAGGTTCTTCCAGCTGCATGTCACAGCATTCAGGTGATGCAGTGGATGGTGGCCAACCGCATCCACGGATCCCGCCACTTGGGCGTGGAAACCACCTACAGCAAGGCAGGTTCGGGCTTGCTTTGAGAGTTGGTTAGGACCGCCAAACTTGCGATCAAAGCGAGCTGACCGTGTCTGACCTTTGGGTTTTGGGTGGTTGTCTGTTTCTATTCAGAACCCCAAGGGGCCCCAAAAGGTCGACCGTTGGGGTGGTTTGCGGTTTCCCAAGCCCTTCAGTTGGATGCTTTCTTGACAAGTGGGGGCTGAAAAGGCCGTCAGCCGGCAGTGGCGCGGGTTGTCACCTCCACACACGAAGAACACTTTTACGGATGCCATTCAGTGTCTAATGGTTGTCAAGCAGAGCTGTGGGAATGAGGGGTTGGTTCCTGGTTTTGTGACACCAAGGAGCCTCCCCTTGAAATGGAGAACCAGTGACCAGTCATTTGGAATTGCATTGGTATCAGAGAAATGGGCGCAACTTCCGCAACCATGTTTCAAAGCGATGCCTTGGCTCGAAGTTCTGGGCCTCAAGTTTCTCCCTTTGCATCAGCAAATGTTCTGTCGGCAACCACTGGTTGCAGTGAGGAAAGGCTTTACCTACCTGCCTTTCTCCTCTTGCTCGCTGCAGGATGCTGCCGGACGACAGACGGTCACTCCAGACTTGTTACAGCCTGGCACTGTTGGGGTGTCTTCTATGGCATAGACTTTACATGCTGCTGTGCTAAAAGTAGGGCCAACAATTGGCTTCATGTTGGTTCCACTGCTCAATACAGGGGTGGTAGACACACAGGCCGTGTTGAAAACCTGGCTGCTGCAGTGAGCATGGTTGCATTTCCGAAGTGCACAGACTTGGAGTGTTTTCCGTGCTCTAGGCTCTATGAAGGGTGCAGCCTTTTTTTGCACTCATGTGCTCAGGCGGCTCTGTTTGGACAAGGGGCCGTTCCGCCATGGCTCGGAATAGTTGCTGCATGGGGAGTCTGGTGGCGATGTCCTTGGGTTTGGTAAACTTGCCGCGTGGCACGCCGAGCCAGGTCTTCTCATATGCAAAGTTCCGCAGCCTCTCTGTAAGAGACGGTGACTCGGGCTCGCGCAAGAATCGTATCTGCCCCGTGTACGGTGACTTTCCTGATGTGGATGTTGTAGCCGTCGAATGGCGGACCGAGCCAATGGACGAGCAAATTCCGGTTCCGCTTCTTGCTAAGGTGTTCCATTGGTGCAGTTCCAAGAAGATGTTTGCTGCTCGGCCTGATCTTCCCGCATCCCGCGACCTTTACAATTCAACAATATTCGTCGAGCTTTCAGAGCCAGCCTTTTTCGCTGGTCGCCGTTTGGTCCAGAAGCTCTTCCCGAGAACTGGCAGGTGGACGAAGGGCCCCAGGAACAGATTTCTCAAATGGATACTGAGGCCCTTCACGAAGGGCACCCGTTGGCTGGAGTGTGCCTTTCGAGACAATGTGCAGCACGAGGGGGGCAATGTTGTGGCCCGCCCTGTTGACAAGCGCCGGGGCACATACCAAGGACGTCGCATTTGCCCCAACATACCATTCTCAGAATTCCAAGCCATTTTGCAGGAGTGGGACGAAAGGGAATACTACGCCAACCCAGTCATGAAGCAGAACTGCAACGAGTTTGCAAGGGAGGCCCTCAAATGGGCGGAATGGCAAAGCTTCCCGCGATGCCGAACCTCGGCACACGACCTGCTCATGGAAACAAGTGAAGAATTTAACTGTATTGAATCCTTCTGGTGTAATCAATGAAGCGTAATATACACATTCGCAGCTAGATTTATTTTCTCACATGTGGTTCAATTGGAACACGAAGGCATGATATAAAGATATATCTGCAGTACACTTGCCAATTTCAATACACCTACGTCAGCATGCATTCCAAATATGGCTCATGTGTTGATACAGTATGCGTGACGCAAACAGGATGCACATGTGACCAGAAATCAGGCAGTGCATCTCCTTGCGAAAGGACTTAAACTTATTGTTGCCTGGCTGGGGCGCCAAGGAACGAAACGAGCTCGCCCATGAGTCCCTTTCCTAAAAGGTGGTGGCTCAGCTTTCACGTAGGGACCTTGTCGGGGAGGGGTCTCGCGCTGGGCAGTCATATCAGGCATCCATTCAGGGCAAAGGCTATTGAGGCAGCACGTAGGCGCAATCGTCCCTTGTGTGTTTTGCCGTTGCTCACCGTGACATCAACGCGTTGGGTGGGCCGTTCAATAAGCGTCGAGGTCCCTTCCGGTGCAATTGGGGGGCCCACGGGGTCCGTATCAAGAGAGCCGAGTGTGGCCCTGAACCTACAGTACAGGTTTCTGCCCGCCAGTGCAGGTTTGATGTGGACCGCGGGAATTGCATGTTGAACACGTGCCAGGCTGCATTTGACTTCATTCCCAGCACTGGCCGGCACTGGGTGAGGCGCGCGTCCAATATTCTCAATTGCCGGCAAAGGCAAAAAACAATCAATGGGCTTTGGATCGCGAGGTGGCGTGGCAACTTCATTTTGGTGGAACGGGCCCGCGAGGCCACTCGTACTGCCTTTGAGCGTTGCGCGAAGGCATATGCGTTTTGGGACAACGCTGCGGTTTGGCTGGGCATCTCTCAAGCTTAATTGATGGCATGTATCAACTTTTGTTTGGAACTCTGTCATGAAATCTGCGGCCCAGACCAAAACGGTCGACATGTCCACGGGCGCGCCGTGGGAAACACTCACTCTGACAGCGCTGTCGTGGCTTGCTCAGCTCAGCCTTGCACGCTTTGTGTCAGCCCTGAAAGGGGCACTCCTTCCAACAAGTCTGGATGACATGACAGATGGGTTTTGAAAGACTGTAGCTCTCTTGAAACGGCTGTTGGGAAGCGGGTATGTCTCAAAACTGGGGACCCCATGGGCGGTTCCCGTGGACTTGGGGCATGGCACTTCGTTTGTTTGCCCCAAGCGAGGCTGCGCCCGCACGTCTTTCAAGACATCCTGGCGGAGGCGAAGCAGGCAGCTTTGGCAAGGGAGGAGGGCATGACTATCATCTACCAGCCCGGCGGCCTAAACACACCTGGCATTGAAGGTCAGATGCCCCCTGAAAAGCTGTTGGTGGTGGACTCATGGCCGCTTGCAAGATTGCGGGCCTTATTTCTCGCTTTGTGGGTGATCCTCGCAGGCAGTCAGCAGAGTGATCTTGGGACCTCGCCAATGTTTCAAGGCGGTTAGAAGGAGATCCGAATTGTGGGAACGGTTTGAGCGTTGCTGCAGTGGTAGACGGCATGCCTGAGGTGCTACGGCCACGAGTGGCGGCCCTTTGGAACACCGAAGAGGATAAGGTGCTGATAGAAGCAACGGTTCGCGATTTGTTGTGGAATGTTTGATAATGTGTGTGTAGAAAGACAAGTCAGCGATGTAAGTGCTACACCTAGTGTATATCTACTATATTTCAGATGAGTTTTGAGTCAATCCGGGAGATACTCATGTCAAATCAGGGCATAACATTGGAAGGTTCCGTTGGGTGCAGTTAAGAAAAGGGACGCCTAATGTCATTCTCATGTGGGGTGAAAGGCTGTGGTTCATCTCGTTTTGAGTTGTTTGACGCATGCCAGCGCTACCTGCGGCAGACACAGATATGTTTGGATCCAAATACAGGATGCATGAGGACCACCCGCCCACTGGGTTGACTTTTAACTTTTAAGGCCCGTGTAGTTTCAAGAGATGTGGTTTGGACAGTCCTTGCGGTGGTGACCATGGTTGAAGAAGGACAGTTTTCCCTTTGGAAAGCCTATTGGGAGGTTCCCAAGGTCCCGCTGTGACCGCCGAGGGATGTTCCCTGCAACGGCATGTGAAAGGCATCCCCCTAGGCTACTGCGGTAAGGTTTTTCACCCAGTTATATCAGCTGTATACGAACCCAGATTCACAGACAGCACCAAAAACACTGGGCAAATTGGGCGCTGGGCATACGCAGGCCGTTTGATTCCGTCGTCCTGGACTCTGGTGTGTCAGAGCAGGCCAGTGCTCTGATTGCCAGGGGGTCCATTGCAATGTTGAAATTCTAAGGGTCCCAAGGAGAACTTCAAACATGGAAGGGGGGTGCTTAATCATAGCAAGTGCTGCGTTCTTAGCTCTCACTCTGCGTACGTCGATCCAGCGGTCCGCGATGCAGCTGGTTCGACCATCCCCGCACAGGTCTTTGACGACATCCAGGACTTCCTGCGCAGCCACCAATGGTGCCCGGGATATTTGGATTTGTCTCAAATGTGGGGGGGAGAGGGAACGGCGGATTTTTTGCGGGGTATACTTTCGGGTTCCCATTAAAGTCACCTCGCATCAGAACAACACCCAATTTGATGATCTCCTGCCGATTGATATAGAAACTAAAAATGGAAGCCCCTCTTGGCGCGCAGGTACTTGGAGAGAGGCATCCCGTATCGGAGAGGCTACCTTCTGCATGGCCCTCCTGGATGCGGAAAGACTGTCTCAAATTTTGCGTGGTTTCGGCATTGTATAACTCGAATAAGAACCAGTGTGTCTTTCTGTTGTTTCTTATTATTTTTTCCGGGGGGTTGCCTTTGCCTTCGTGTCTCTTTGGATTCAGCCAAAGGGGGTTTCGCAACTGCAATTATTTCGGACGCACCCGAATGGCTCATGTTTCAATGATCAAAAACAGCGTGCGAAGGACTTCCTTCGTGTCAGCGCTGGCCGGCCGGCTGGGCCAGTGGCTCGGTTTGCTTTCGTTGAGGGTAATGTTGGCACCTGATTAATAAAGGGCCCCCCCCCCCTGGAAGAATAGAGGCGCCAAACTACTGGGGGCTCACTTTTGGGACGTCCAAACAATGGAGGATTTTGGGCCCAATTCTACTTTAGTATTGCAGCCACTTACCTTTTTGCAATTCTACTTCAGTATTGCAGCCACTTCCTTTTTGCAATTCTACTTTAGTATTGCAACCACTTCTTCCTGAGCAGACTTTTTAGAATACTACTTTAGTATTGCAACCACTTCCCTTTCAGTTCTTTCTGTAGCCGATCAAAGGGGTGTGCCACCAATTGAAAGGGGATGCTTTTAAGCAAGTGGGCCACCAATTGAAAGGGGATACTTTTAAGCAAGTGGGCCACCAATTGAAAGGAGAATGCTTTTGAGTAAAGCACTTATAGTTTATTTTCTGGGCGGGGGGGGGCGGGGGGGCGGGGGGCTTGCAATTAATGTGGTCCCCTAAAAGAATGACGTTATTGTGGTTCAGTGGGGTCTGTGAGGGGTACCCTTGTCCTGATTGGTTGTTTGCATTTTTCCCCAAACAGCGAAGCATTGGGGTTCTAACTTGAGGTATAAGGAATGGGAAAGTGTGACCCCTGTTTTCCGCTTGTCTTCCTGTCTCCCAATCTCTCCGGTCAGATGCCAGATGCTGTGACGCTGGCTCCGGGGTCGTGTCTCCCTGTGTCTCCCAGTCTAGATGCCAGATGCTGCGACGCTGGCTCAGGGGTCGTGTCTCCCGCTTGTCTCCCTGTGTCTCAGTCTCCGCGGTCAGATGCTAGATGCTGTGACGCTGGTTCCGGGATCGTGTATCCCGCTTGTCTCCCTGTGTCTCCCAGTCTCCGCGGTCAGATGCCAGATGCTGTGACGCTGGCTCCGGGGTCGTGTCTCCCGCTTGTCTCCCTGTGTGTCAGATGCCAGATGCTGTGACGCTGGCTCCGGGGTCGTGTCTCCCGCTTGTCTCCCTGTGTCTCCCAGTCTGCGCAGTCAGATATGGCAGATGCTGCGACGCTGGCTGCGGGGTCGTGTCTCCCGCTTGTTTGCCTGTCTGCGCGAGTCTCCGAGGTCAGATGCCAGATGCTGTGATTTCTGTGACGCTGGCTTCGGGGTCGTGTCTCCCGCTTGTCTCCCTGTGTCTCCCAGTCTCCGCGGTGATGCCGGGTCTCCCGCTTCGTTGTGTCTCTCAGTCTCTGTGGCAGATGCCAGACGCCTGGCTCCAGGGTCGTGTTTCCCAGTCTCTGCGGTCAGATGCCAGACGCTGCAAGGCTGGCTCCGGTCGTGTCTCCCGCTTGTCTCCCTGTGTCTGGATGCCAGATGCTGTTACGCTGGCGCTCCCAGTTTCTTCTTGCCCAGTTTCGAGGCTGACCTTGCTTGGCATCCAGTTCGGCTCCGTTCGGCTCCCTTCGGCTCACGTGGCAGCAGCTCGCAAGCGCAATTGAGAAGCATCTAGAAGCATAGATGCGACAAGTCAGCAGGTCGCAGTTTTTCTGTTAGCTTGTGTGCAAAAAATGTGCCTCCCTCTTGGTCAAGCGCAGGTTTGCATCCTTTGTGGAGCATCGTTGGAGCTAGAAGCAAGCAGTGTCGAGCTTTAAATATGTCTTATTTTCTTGATAAACAAACAAATCGTGACATCCGGCTGATTGCTTTGCTCAGGAAACTGAGCTGCTTTTTAAAAGCCAGTGCCGCACTCGATGGTCAAGTGCAGGTTTGCATCCTTGTGGCGCACCAGCAGGGCCCTGTCGAGCCTTTAATACGTCTATGGTTCTCGATAAAAAAAACAAACATATAGTGACATCCGGCTGATTGCTTTTTGGAAGCCAGTGCCGCACTTCTTGGTCAAGCGCAGGTTTGCATCCTTGTGGCGCATCAGCAGAGCCCTGTCGTGCCTTAAATATGTAGACTGGTTTCGATAGACAAATACGGCTGATACTGCGCTGCTTTTTGGAAGCCAGTCCTTGCGGCGCATCAGCTCAACAAATACCGTGACATCCGGCTGATACTGATCTGCTTTGTGAAAGCCAGCGCCGCACTTCTTGGAGGTTTGCATCCTGGTGGCGCATCAGCAGAGCCTTGTCGAGCCTTACATGCGCCCATTTTGTTCT